GATCTCCACTAGTTCGTGTTTTCAGTTTTCAGGCATCTTGTACATGTATAAAATTTCACATACCATTTATTTCTAAAAATATAAGTTGTTTTTCTCAAGCAATCTCACAACTCGGAACCAGTTCACAATTTCACAACCCATATTCCTTTGACCAACTAAAACAGCTACACACTAAATCAATAGAAATTAATTCATGGGAAAAAATTATACAAACCAAAAACAACAAAACATCACGCTCTCCTGTGGTCACAAAAATTAAAACTTTTATTTATATATTTTTCATTAAAAACAACATAAGATGTTTGTAATATATGAGAGAGAAATATAAAAATCATGCAAAGCCCTCTCTCCCTTATGGTATTCTACATGATTCTATGACTTCAAGAACAACACTGTGAGTCTCTGGTGATATCATGTTCAGTGTCATATGAAATTCCTGCAAAAATTTATCAAACCAAATCATCAAACTAACAATTTTTTTTTTCTTTTTTTTTTGTGATTTTAATAACCTAAACAATTTCTGATCATGGAATAAACCCAGCTAACTTAAAAAATTACAAAAAGTATTAGTATTGGCCGGAAAAATTCGATTGGGTTTTTCGTTTTCACCGTCTGATCACACACAATATAATACTCTCGTTTTGATCAAACGGTAAAAAACCGATGTGGGTGTGAATTTTCTGTTACATTCAAATACTTTCGTAATTTTTTAAGTTAACTGGGCGTTCTCACAATTAGATAAAATCTTCATATCAATTGTAATTAAACCCCAAATTACCAGAAATCTCTCCAGTACTGGGACGAGTGCTCTCAAGTTGTGATTGGGAAGACAATCTGAAATTGCATTGCGTACGTTTTGGCTGGCGAGAAACACAGAAGAAATTATAAGTATGAGCAGCGCAGTTAAAACACAATGCAGGAATTTAATTAAGTACTAATCCAGTTACTAATTTACTGTATTTAACCCCTTTCTGTTGAAAGGAAGGCAAGAAGGAGAGATTATCAATTTAATTAAGTACTAATCCAGTTATTAATTTACTGCATTAACCTTTCTGTTGAAAGGAAAGCGAGAAGGAGAGCTGCATAAGCTTCCACGATCATTTTCTCGGCTTCTTTCTCCCCCTGTAATATAGACTCTTCATCCTCCTGCAAAGCACGGTTTTAATTATTCGTGTATATAAATCTTATAGATGTTCAGTATAGCAAGCTTCAAATATTCCTTTTGCATGCATTTGACGATTGGATCAAAATATGAAGACAAAATATAAATAAAACAAAAATCCTCACCCAAGACAAATATGTCTCCTCTCCAGTGGCATCAGTGTTGCTTTGATTAGCCAAAAATATTGAGCACAGTAGAGAAATAATATCACTTTGATCTTTCGAGGCCGAACCTTCCGGGTTTGGTAACGAAACAGTAGCTGCTGCAAGCCGAGATCTGGAATAAGATCAATTTCAATCAGAAAAATGTTTCTTCAATTAATTATAAAAAAAAAGACATCAACCAAAAAGAAATTTTCCCAAAAAATAAAAATGAACTGATATATTGTAAAAAATAAAAAGAATGAACAGGGTAAAAGAGCTAATGGAGAATGATTTACCTGTTCCGACTATCTTTCTCCACCAAATTCACGAGCAAACCCAAAAGAGCAACGAGGAAATCCAGCTCTCGATCAGTGAGAGGTGTACTGCTCTTAGGACTCGATTTAGATGACGAGCTACTGTCCCTAGCATCATCAGAATGCGGCAAACAAGTTCTAAATGACGAAAAATGACCCGCAATCAGAGAAGACAATATTTCCAATCCCCCACAGGTGGCAATTTGCCGACAGCCATCAGGGTTGTCGTTCGTCAAGTTCATAAGAACCTGTGAAAATCAAAATGCATCACGCTAACAGCTTCACGCAATGAAAACAATGACCATTAATTTAGCCTTGGTCAGCGTAATTATACATATTGCAAAATTAGGAAGAAATAAACAGGAAATGTGATAGTGTAATAAAAATTCACCGCAAAAACAACTCACCAACAACCAAAATACAACAATAAAGAAACTTAGATAGGTAAAAATTTGGAGCGTAATAAATCCAACGAAGAATACAACCAATGTCCAAAGTGGGTATAAATCATCTTTACCAAACAACGTGCAAGCAATATCATCAAAACATCCTTCCAAGAAGCTTATCATGTTCAACAATTTAGTATTCCAATGAAGACCAAAATGTGTCGGCTAAAAGATGAAATGCAAGTAGTACCTTGACAGCCGTGAGTAGACAATCCGCCAGAAGATTAGACTTATCTTCGTCAGCAGCCGAAGAACAAGAAGCCTCCTCCGAATGACGATATCCTACTACATCATTCGATTCTTGCTGGCTAGCCACAAGAACAGGGTGATTTTCTAATCCAAATCGATTCCCAATATGCCTGCTATCTTGGGACAACGGCTTATTCGAGCTTCCAGACATTACATCCCACTTTGAGGGCTCACAGTCATCCTCATCAAACATAAAAGGATCCTGACCGTCCATTCCTGAATTGCCACTCGTGCGGACCATCTTATCCGATTCCCTTGATGTCCCGCTGCACATTCCTGCTTGGGATGATTCGGCTCTCAGCTTAAGCAACAGGGCTTCCGCGGAAGATTGAGTGGGTCCCGCGCTCGATCTGATCCCGTCGAGCTGAGTAAAACTTTCTTGAGAAGTTAAACCTAAGCCAGAAAGGCCTTCAAAATGGTTGTCCTCATCCTGGGAATCGGATGGTGAAGAGTTCCTCAGTAACAAAACACCTAGTCATCAATGACAGATATCAGGAAAAAGTGGGTACAGATAAAAATATATTATAATATATAGACATATATGTGTGTGAGAGAGATTATGGGTGTGTTTGTTTTGTAAATTTCCTCAATCCATAACCAATTCATACTCAATATCTACTCAAAATCTAGTTCAACTTTAACTCAACCCAACAATCCTCAATATTATCGATATAATTAAAGAATATCAATCAATCATTCTTACACGCCACATTAACTTTAATTCATTATTCATCTACTCACATAATTTAAACTAATCATCACTTCACATTATCTCTATCCTACTTTTACATCAAATAAACTTTAATTACTTTATCAATATATATATATATATATATATATATATATATATATAATTGCTGGCAAGCTTCAATAAATTTTATTCAGCCACAACTAATAATAATATGAGTTCATTTAATTAAAATAGATGTTCATTTAATAAAAATATGTTCTAACATTTAATAAAAATATTTATGACTACCAATACAGTTACACAAGTAAAATCTTATTATTATTTATTTTTATTCTGTAATAGCTTTACAAGATTTTAAATTTTCTGAATATATATTAAATTATTTTTACACTAATATTCCTATTTTGTATTATAATTATACAATAACAAAAAAAAATGATTTATATGGAAGTTAAATAATTTATATTTATATTATACATTTACATATCGTCAAAATTTTAAAATGTAATACACACTTTATCTAATTTAAATTTTTAAATATCACCTACGTACATATAATATATAAAATTTTTGTTTCCCTCTGTGCATGTGCACATGATCAAATACTAGTTTTAATATAAACTCGAAATCTCACTAGCAACTAACCATACCACCTTTTTCAAAATCAGCACTAGTTAGCCAAAAAAATTTGTTTTGAGCGGATATATTTGTATCCAAGCACGCCCTATATATAGCTCATAGGGAACAGTAAACCATACTTGATACCTGAGAGAATTTTAATGACACTCAGAACAAGCTTTGTGAAAGAACGGGGAGCCCGTTGTCCATCGAAACTTCCTTTCATCTCAAGCAAATGGCGCTGAAATGCATTCATTAGCAGATTCAAACAACAAGCCATCAATTTATAAATCACTTTAAACCTGATACATAAACAAGAAGCATTCGAGCACAGAAATATAAGATCTTGGGTCTGCCAAATCCAAAATCTGATACCTGATTATCATTGCTAAGGAAAAGAGCATTTTCCATGATTTTTAGACATTTTAAAAGCAGTACTAGGCTTTCTAGCCCCGAGATCTCTCTTGAATCCAGTGCAAAAGTAGGACTCTTCTCCGACCATTCCTGTAACGCATCAATGAGCATTGGAAAAATAAACTTAATAGAAAAGATCAAGGGCTGTAATGGTAGTCAATCAAGGGCTGTAATGGTAGTCATACAAGCTTAGAATACCATCTTGAAATGCATATTATGCATTGCCAGCCACTTCATAAACCCAAAGGTAAAAAAGTGATCAAGTATCATCATCAATTTAAAGNGTTGAAAAAAAAAAAAAAAAAAAATCCATCTGCAACTCTAAAAGTACATCATATATCATATAGCATAAAAGAATGGTTTAATCAACATCAAGACAAGTTCCCCGATTGTGCCACTAATATAGTTGACCCCTCTTTCAACCAAGTAAAAAATTATGTGAATCATTATCAATCAGAAAAAATTTCTAAATGCGAAGTATCCCATGTCCAAACCTCCAATGACAAATGACATCTGAAACAAATAAGCATGCATCAAACAAGAATAACATACAAGCTCACACCTCAAGCACGGAATGACATTTCCTTGCCACTTCAAAGACTGAATCAAGTCCCCCGAAAACTCTCAGTTTCTCCTTGAACTTGCCCCCAGTTTTCCGTATGCCAGTGGTGTCTGATAATAAACAACACAGAACAAAGGGAAAGGAGAATGAACTGAATAGATCAAACACATATTAGGGCAAAATTATATAAATAGAAGTTCTATTCATATCAAGGCCTCACCCCTTCCCAAAAGAAAATTAAACTAAGAGTCTACGAATTTTGCAAAGTCACAAAACTAATAAGTAGATGCAGATCAAAAGGATTCATTTTGATCATAAGAAACAATCACGGTTGATGATACTAGATTACCCCTAAATTAAGTAAAACGAGTTCTAAACCTTCAATAGAGATACGACATGAGCACGCTTTCTCCATTGTGAGTAAACTAATCCATTTAGGATTCAATTCTGGTTCTTCTACCCCACCATGACTGTCATCTCTTGACTTCATTTCCTTGCAATCGACAAGGATCTCCCGAACCTGGAGCATGATTGCAGTAGAGCTAGAATCTGTTCCCTTGGCTGGTTCCTGTAACAAACCGACACTCCGGCACAGGCTTACAAGCTTGCTACCAACAGGTAGAGCTTTTTCCTTGACAACACTTGGTGAAAGTGGTTTCAACATTTTTATTAGAAAATGGATGCAGCTTGGTGAATCCAGAAGATAATCATTTTGACCCTGAAATAATGAAAATTTCATATAATAATTGGTACGAGGCTGGAGGAATACATATCTTGGAATGTCATTGAAGCAAACAGAGAAATTATCAACCCCAAATCATATTCTTGAAATAACTCACGTCAACCGTCAGAACATAAACTAAAGCAGCAGCAGCAACGTTACTTGGCATGTCATCAAAATTGAGTCCCAAAACAGCATCAAGGATAATCTCCGCCATCCTAAGAAAAATAAAACCAGTTATGGATAGTACAATCAACTAGTATCATCTGTAAACTGGTTAGAGTTTCAGAACCTAATGATACAAATAGCTCAATCACATACAAGAAGTAATAAACAACAAATTTTTAAGCACCATTTGATATCAAAGTATATTCACCATTTTGCCTCTTTCACTTTCCTATCAGAAAGGTAAACTCTCAACCTTCATGGTTGGACAAAAGAGAAAGCTTATTTAGTAAATAGTTACTCACCTCAACATTGAAAGAAAAGGAAAATGGAAATTCATCAGAAGACTTTTAGAAAGTCCATTAAATGCACAGAATTTCCTTGCTCATTCTATAAAGATCCATTTTCCAAGAAAATAAAATGATTGTATCATATCCTACTAAACATTTATCCTCAAAGATGGGCTTCAACAAAATGAATTGAACATAAAGTACCCATGAACTTTCAAAAGCCGCCTCTGCTGCGCTGTTCCACAAATTGTTAGCAATGACAGAAGGCTCGCCCTATGAACTGCCACTGGTTGCCCCTTCTTCAGCCCATCCAATGCAAAATTCACCTCATCTTCATGCTCCATCATCTCACCAGACTCTTGAGTCTCCATAAGTGTAGCAGTAAGCTCAACATACCTTGGCTCCGACTCCTTTGACTTCATCTTTTTCTTATTCTTTTTCCTCTGCAATTTACCATTTTTGTCCATATTTTTCTTCTTAGATTTTCCAGACACCCCCCCAAAACCCAAATGATCACCATTGCTTTCATGCTTTCTCAACTTAGAAGTACCCAAATTACCCAATTCTTGAGAAGAATCTAACGTAAACGAATCAAGATCGAGGTTCTTAGACTTCTTCGATTCCCATAAATCACCATCCTCTGAGAAATCAAAAACCTTATCATCCCTGACCTTGCTTTGAGGTGGAACCACATGTTCCTCCAACTCCTGCGATGAATTATAATCATATGGATCTGGATTAACCTCCACCCCGTCCCTTTTCCTAGATTTCCCAAAATCCCCACCAAGATCCCAGCCATCACCTTGACTTTCGGGATTTCTTGACTGAGAAACACCCAAGTCACTCAACTCCTGTGAAGAGTTGAAGCCACAAGAACCATTATCAACATTCTTGGACTTCCTTGATCCCCACAAGTCCCCATCCTCGGAAAATTCAAACACACTATCCTCCCCGCCCTTCCTCCGAGGTGGCACACCCAAATCGTCCACCTCTTGAGATAAATCATAATCAAAAGGATCGGTATTGACCTTCTTGATCACCCTCGATCTCTGCGAACCCCTTTTACCAGAAATCCTCAAAATCCCGAATTTCTTCGATTCTTGCAAAGAATTTTCACCGGAGGCCCTTGAACCGGCTCCAATCACCTTCAATTTCTTCGAGTTACGAAAATCATCCCCGTCCTTCCTCGGGGGCAGAAGCGCCGCCGATCGCCCCGAATCCTGAGACGGGTCGAAATCGTACGGATCGGGCGGAAACGAGAAATCGTAAACATCCTGCGAGAATTCTTGGGAAGACGAGCCCGAAACACCATCGGAAAAGCCACTGGACGAGCAACTCCGGCCCAAGCCACGACCCCGGCGACCGTAGGTTCTGAACATCATGCTACCTCTCGAATTGAAACCCTAATACCCAAAAAATAGGAAAATTGGGGAAGAAGACCCCAAAAAAATTGCTTCTCTCAATTTCAGCTCCCTTTTGGAAGAATTTGAAAATACAAAGGGCTCATGTGATTTCAGATGAGGAGATGTGATTTTCCATTTTAGGTTGAGATTATTAAAAGCAGAGATGAAAGCAGACAATTGGGGATAAAAATCTTGGGAGTGTGCGGAGCCAGAGTGTGAGGGTATGTAGAGGGAGGGTATTTCTGTCATTTGCAATATATAGAATGGTGAGGAAATCCTAGCCGTTGATGTGAGTTTTACCTATGGTCGCTTTTCAGCTTTTGTAAGGACGGCTAGTTGCCTAGTTGGCAATATTTGTAGAATTTTGAATCTTTTTGTCAAAAATACCCTTGAATGCACATGGAATGAGACATCCGACTAAGGGTGAGCAACAGTGTGGTTCGATGAAAAACTGCATCAAATCGCAAAAAACAAAAATCAAATCTAGCTAAATAAACAACTAAAACGCACCTGCAACTTAGAAAAAATCGAACCGAAACTGAACCGATCATTTTAATACTAAAATAACTTAATCGAACACACCGAAATGCACGGTTCGTCTCGATTTTTGGTTTTGAAGCAGTTTTTCTATACATTTTATTCAGAACCAAAAATCAAAATTATAAAAAACTAAAACCGCACTGCACCGCACCGCAATTAAAAAAAAATGAAACGAAAATTTTTATAGTAAAAATCTGAACTGAGCCCACCGATTTGCACGATTCGAATCTATTTGGCTCACTCCTACCACCGACCGTACTTGTTTGAATTTTGAGGCACATTTTAAAACTTTTTAAAATCTAAATATATTTAGTTTAAGAGAAAATCTTATAAATCTCATGTTTAGATGTTGAAATTTAAGTAGGATTTTGGTATTTGTAATATTCGTTGAAATTTATGTAAATGTTCAAAATTGTAGATAATCAGATTGATAATAATGAACACGTAGTGGGGTGTATTTGTTTTAGATTTTTCAAGACCTTATAAATTATGGTGTATTTAATTTAAAGTTTTGTAGTCGAGTGTATTCGTTTAAGATTTTTTAAGACTTTATAAATTATGGTGTATTTAATTTAGAATTTTTTTTAAGACTTTTAAAAGTTTTCAATTGTTCATTTAAAATTTTAAAAATTCTTACGTGGTATTTCACTTATTCGAGACTATGATTTGTCAAGACTTTTTAAGATTTGTTGGAATTTTAAAAGAAAAAATCATGTATGAAATCCTATTTCAATTTCCACCTCACAACTTTTCATTTTCTGTAGTATCTATTCGAAATTTTCATTTTTTTTTTTCAATATCTATCCGAAATTTTCACTGAATCTCAATTAGCATAACTACAGTAACAAAAAAAATTAGTCATCAAATAAGAATAGTAAGTGCTTGGCACTTTAGATTAGAGTTGTAAACAAATTTCACGAACAAAAGTTTGTTTCTTGAACGAGTAGGATCATTGGTTAATTGATAGAATACGGAGTTAGAGCATCTCCAATGGTCTAATGTTGTTGTAGGATAAATTTTGACAAATGTCAAAAAATTAAATAGATTGTGATACATGTAAGACAAATGTTGAGTTCACAACTATTAAATTAAAAAATCATCTTCAATGCATAATGTAGTCTAATTACAATATTATCTACTTACCAAATATTAAAATTTTAATATGAATTAATAGAATTAATTAAATAATTAAATAGTTTGAAAATGATAATAGCAAGTCTCTCTCTTCTCTTCATTGGCTAGTTAGAGTGTAGAGGAGAATGTGGATGAACCACATTCTTCTTTACATTGTAGACATTAATTATGTCCACTTCATCACAACATTGGTGATTACATTGTACATTAGAGGATGAAAAGTTATGATATTAATAAATGTGTTGATGTGAAATGTAATTTGACACTACAACATTGAGCATTGAAGATGCTCTTAGGCTTAAAAAAATAAAGATAATTAATTGGTTAATTGAATGATTAGGATAATTCACTAATTGAATCAGGATTATTGGATAATTGAATGAGTAGGATCATTGGTTGATTGATTGAATACCGAATTGAGCTAAAATAAAAATTAAAAATAAAATAAATCAGGATTATTACTATTTATGATAGAAGATTTTGAATAAATGGTTTTTTTTAATTGTTCTTTTCAAATTTTGGAGGCTCCATGATTTCAAATAAATTGATAGCTAATCAAATAATTTTAATAATTAAGGGGGTGATTGTTTATTAACTCAATAAAAAAAAAAAAATCAATCAAAACTCAAATTTAACTAACTCAACTCCACTATCTCAAATATTATCAATATAATTAAATAATATCAACTAATAATTTTATATCACATATAGGGTTGCAAACGAGCCGAGCCGAGTCGAGCATTGGTCTTATCGAGCATGATAGGATTTTTTTTGAGCTGCTCGAGCTCGTCGAGTTCGATTTTTTAGGCTCGAGCTCGACTCGATAAAAAAATACAAGAGCTCGAGCTCAACTCGAATTCAAAATGCTTGAACTCGGCTCGAGTTCGGTTCGAATTTTTTCAAGTAATTTTGTAAAATAACCATTAAGTACATATATACACAAGAGGTATTTTAGTAATTTCATATATCTCGAGTTGATCACCAGCCGCTCGACAATACAAAATATGGACTCGAGCTCGACCCGAGTGTGCTCGGGCTCGACTCGAGTTCAGTCAAACTCGAGCTCGAGTCGAGCTTTGACTCGAGCGCTAGCGAGCCTGCTCGACTCGTTTGTACACTAATCACATCAACTTTAATTCACTATTAATCCACTCATATAATTTTAACTAATCATCACTTCCAATCATTTTTCTCTTACTTTTATATCATATTACCTTCAAATTAACTTTAATTATTTTATTTTAAAAAATATTTTAATTTAAAATTAAATATTTACTAACAACTAATCATATTATTTTTTTAAATTTAATTATAATAAAAAAATTAATTAAAAACTAGTTGAATCTATATTATCCCGGAAATACTCCCCTACCCACAGTGGACACATGTTAATATGTCCACCGCTTATGTGGCATGCACACATTGGTGATATTAATATATTTAAAAAAATACATCACCAATGTGTGCATGCCACATATGCATATGTGGCATATTGAGCATTTCCCTTAATCCCCCTAATTATTCGACGAACAAAAAGTTCGAATATAATCGAAAACTCGACCTCTCAATGCAGACTCCCCGAGAAAACCAAAATAAACCAATATATCAGAGAAACCCGACTAATCGGAAAAGAAAAGGCCAAAGAGATGAGCAGCGGCAGCAGCGGTGGCGGCGCAGCGCAGCAGTCACCTCACTCTCTAGCTTTCAGAGTGATGCGATTGTGCCGTCCGACGGTCCACGTGGACACCTCCCCTCTCAAATTCGATCCCTGCGACCTCCTTTTCGGCGAGGACCTGTTCGACGATCCACTTGCCGCCGCCGGTCTCCCCCGCCTCCTTAGCAGCCAATCGAATCCCTCCGTCGTGGATCCCTCCGATCTCAGCTACCGCAGCAGATTCCTCCTCCAGCACCCTACTGACTCGCTCGGCCTCCCAGGCCTTCTTGTCCTCCCACAATCATTTGGGTATTAGCCTGTACACAAACACACATACACACACACTAATATCTTTGTTTTTATGAATGTATTTGGAAATGTGCTGATTGATGTTCCTCCTTCCTGTGAAGTGATAGATTTTTAGATGAACTATGTGTTTTAGGCAATCATTTTCATTTTTCTAGGGCAATATATCTTGGGGAGACATTCTGCAGTTACATAAGTATCAACAACAGCTCAAGTTTTGAAGTCCGTGATGTTGTGATTAAGGTAGAATACATGTTCATTTGTCGGCATACGACATGTAATTGCACTGAGATTTGGAAATTTCCTTCGAATGAGCTGAAGTCGAGTTACTGGGAGAATAACTTGATTCAATTTATTTTCATTTGCAACTCAAAAATGTGAGAAGTTTCATATTTGATTGTTTAGGCTGAAATTCAAACAGAAAGACAGAGGATACTGCTTCTGGATACATCAAAATCGCCTGTTGAATCAGTACGTGCCGGGGGGCGATACGATTTTATTGTGGAGCATGACGTGAAAGAACTTGGTGCACACACGTAAGGGAATTCAGACAGTGCTTAAATAAGTTCACATGTTCTGTGGCACACTGTACTCTAACTCGTCTAATTGTGGTGGTTTTGTATAGCTTGGTGTGCACTGCACTTTACACTGATGGTGAAAATGAGAGGAAGTATCTCCCACAGTTTTTCAAGTTTGTAGTTTCTAACCCCATCTCTGTACGGACAAAGGTACTCTATTATAAGATATCCATGCCATGTAATTTGCACGTTCCGTGTTTGGATAGCCTTAGCTGTTGATTTCCGGGAAGTGATAGTAACTCTTCTTTAATGCAGGTTCGCAACGTTAAGGTATGTTGAAGATGGTGAAAGTTTTTTTTGTGTGTAAGTGCGTGACCTTCCAAAAAACAATTCTTTGCTTGTGCATAATGATTTATTGCTACATGATTTGTTAGGAATGAGGATTTTCGAGATATTTTGTCTGAACTTTAGGGTGTTTACTTGTCTATGTTACCATGTTAGTTTTCCTTATTCTAATGAGCACTTGGAGTGGTTTCCATGGACATATTATCAAATTGTATTCAGGAACAATAATTTGCATTTTATTTGAGCTCTGGCAAGCGGCGGCTGGCTAGCTGCACGATAACCATTTCTTCTTTTCAATATATTCAAATTACTTTCTCAGGACACAACATTTTTGGAGGCTTGTTTAGAAAATCATACGAAATCTCACCTTTATATGGACCAAGTTGAGTTCGAGCCAGCTCAGCATTGGGTTGCAACTGTGCTAAAAGCTCCTGATAATTCCTCTGATCATAATCCATTAACAAGGTGGTTAAGAAATATTATTTACTCGAGAGCTAGTGATAAGATATTAAATTCTTGATTAAAAAAAAATGATACCAGTGAATCTAGTTTAGTTTGCTGACTTGGTGATTGGTATCATTTTTTTGATATCTTTTGTGTTTGTATTTTGTTTTTCCAGAGAAAATTTCAAGGAACCCATTCTCATTAGACCTGGGGGAGGAATTTATAATTATCTGTATCAGCTGAAATTTTCGCCACCTGATGGTGCACAAATGAAAATTGAGGGAAGTAAGATTCTAGGTAAATTTCAGATAACATGGCGTACAAATTTGGGTGAACCTGGTCGCCTGCAGACCCAACATATTCTTGGTAATGTAAGTTGAAATATTTATTTCCCTTTATAGTTCAAATCGGAAGATTACCGTAGAATGTAGGGATCTCCAATACTGTAGCTGTCATCTCAAAAGTTGCACCATACAAGTCCTTATCTGCTTCTCCACTTCCTTTTATGTTTTTTCAATTTATATTGCCTACTGGTATATTACTGAAAGTCAGAAGAAATCCATATTTGCTATAATCTTCTTTATAACTGGTGTTTTGTAGCTGGATTTTCTAATTTTTGTTATGCTTCTTTTGCTTATAACTTAATAAATTCAGTTTGATTAAGTGGCTCGCATGATTAATGGCCATCACACTGCAAATTCCATTGCAGCCCGTTTCTCGCAAGGAAATTGAATTACATGCTGTGGAGATCCCACCTGTCATTATCTTAGAGAAATCATTCATGGTAACAACTACTATATCATGACTTAAAAGTTCCTTTCTTAGGCCATCTTCCCTTCATTTGATTGTAGTTGTAAAAAATTATGAGCTCTAAATGTCAATATATATTTATATATATATATATATATATATATAACAACAACAACAACAACAACAACATATCCAGTATATTCCCAAACAGGTTGAGGTCTGGGGGGTCAAGGTTTGATCGTCTGGGGTCAGACCTTACCCTTGTAATAATACAAGGAGGTTGTTTCCGTAGCGACCCAAGGTGCAGTGCGTCAGAAACTTCACTAATAGAAGAAGCACTAGAATTTAATTGAGCCATTTTGATCTAGTCCATTATTAGCACTATGTCAGAAGAATTGTCAACAATGACTCTTCCGGCTCCATTTGAATTTGAATTTATATATATATATATATATATAT